CCCCAAAACCCCAAAACCCCAAAACCCCAAAACCCCAAAACCCCAAAACCCCTTATATTTTGTCAGACTTGGAATTTATAAAATATTCTAAAACTTTCTCCAAAGTAAGATGGACGAAGAGACTATTGAAAAGTATTGCCAAGCACTCGATCTCTCAGTGTCACCAGACAACGACCTGAGAAAGCAGGCAGAGGCCTTTATTATTGAAGGGATGGAAACTCCTGGGTTTATAGCAGCCATGCTGCACATCTCGTCAAACCCAGATCTTAATCGCGACAGGAAGATCGACATCACCCAAGCAGCTGCGATTCAGTTTAAGAATATTGTTGAGACCCATTGGAAGTACAAAGATGATGAGTATGCAAAGGAAATGAGGGAAGATGGGTATAAGGTCATCATCATTCCTGATGAGACCAAGACTTATGTCAAGGAAAATATTCTCACCGCCTACATCAATGTGCATAGTGAAAAAGTGGCCAAACAGTTTGATTTCATTGTGAGATGAATTACTAAGCATGACTTCCCAGATAAGTGGCCAGATCTGGCGAATAAAGTCAAAGACTATATTGAAAGTGATGATTTGTACGGTAGTGAGATGTTCGTAGGGCTTTATACACTAAAATCAATTTGAAAAAGATATGAGTATGAATTTGATGCCAAACGAGAGCCCTTGAATGAGATAGCAGATATACTGTTCCCCAGGCTCGAAGCGATAACAACATGAGTTGAAGGAGATAACTCCGACCAAGGGTCCAGACTGAAAAATTTAATTGGACACTGATTTTACATCTCAAATCAAATTAGCTTGTGAAAAAGATATTTGGACCCTTCAATGCTAGATTTTATTGTTAAATTTAATACGAGTGCACTCGAAGCTGAGATTGATAACAGCCTCACGCAGCCTACCGAGAGTATTGAGGAGATCGACCACCGTGCTGAAAGTTTCCAGTGGAAACTGAAGATGACAGCCATGAACTTTCTCTTTAGAATCTTCCAGAAATTTAGCAATCCCCAGTATGTAAACGAAACAATGAAGCCAATTGCCGAACACTGAATTAATAACTATGCCGAAGGAATCATCAATCTGGCAAACACTCTTATAGCAAAGGCAAAATAGCATTTATATTGACAGACAAGTGTTGAGCTACTGCTTCAAAGTTGTTTCAACATCTATCAATCAGACTTCATACAGAGAAATGATCAAGCCACTTATTCCTGAGATTCTCACCTCTCACTGAGTTCCAGCAATGCTTCTGACAGAGAAGGACACAGAAGACTTTGAAGCTGATCCTGTTGAGTTCATTAGGAAAGCAAGGGACCCCAATCCAAATATCTACACAGCAAGGAACTCAGTTCTGGAGATGATTAGGAACGTAACTCAGCACAAGAGTAACCAAGATAAAGGCGCATTGCCAGACTTCCTAGAGTCCTTCTTTGGCTTTCTGCTTGAAAACCTTAGTGAATGCATCAAGCAGGATGCTCCTGATTTTAGAATAAAAGACGCTTTGTTGCTATGCCTTGGTCAAATCGCTCCGACACTTTTGATGTACGACCAGTTCCACGACCAGCTCAACCAAGTGCTCACTGGAGCAGTTTTCCAGGATCTCACTTCTGAGAATGAGCTCGTGAAATACAGAGCCCTGTGGGTCTATGGACAATGTTCTCGAGTTCCAATGGAGGACGACCACAGACTTGAAGTCGGAAAGCTGCTTTTCCAGTTAATGAACGATGAAAATACTGCTGTTAAGATCACAGCATCCACTAGTCTGTATAAGAACTTGAGGAACAACTCAATGAAGGAGGCCTTTAAATCTGAGTTGGCAAGCATCCTAGAAGCATATCTTGGCCTGATGGACACTATCGACAATGAAGAGCTTATAGCAGGGTTAGAAGAAGTAGTCAGCCTTTATGAGGATTGCATTGGACCGTATGCAATCGAGCTCTGCTCGAAAATAGTAGAGAATTTTAATTAAAATCACCGGAAAAGAGCAAGAGGAGGAAGAGTATGGGACTATGGGTATGGCAACCAGCGGGCTTGTAGTCACCATCAGAAGTATCATCAACAGTTGCAAGGGTGATCCTGAGACACTTCTCAAACTTGAGCCTGTGATCTTTCCTGTAGTAGTCAGAAGCCTTTCTGCAGATGGGTGAGAGTATCTGGACGAGGCAATGGACTGTATCACTGCCATTCTAAACTTCACCCAATCGGCCACAGAGAGAATGTGGGCATTGTTTCCTCACCTCATAAAAATAAGTAAGTTTCCACTCTAAGAATGTAGTTGTTGGTGGTCCTGAAGATGAAGAAGGGGGCTATGCCTTTGATTATTTTACATCAATGGAGGATTACTTTAGAAGCTTAATTAAGTATGGACACGATGGCATGCTAACTAAAAAGATAGGAAATGATCCAGTAATGATATTGCTGATAAAAGGTATTATAAAGATTCTCCAATTAGTCAAAGAAGGAGATGTCAATACCAACGCCTACATCTGCATTGTCATAGTAGAAACTTTGCTACTTGAATTTCCTGGAAAACTGGACCAGCTCCTTCCGACATTCATTAAGATTCTATGCACAGAGTTGAGCAACAAGGAGATCACCAAAGAGTTTCGCCTCCATGCTCTGACTCTGGTGGCTCATTGCTTCATCTACAACTGAACTCTAACGTTGGGGGCTCTGACTGATCTTAAGGTTTTGGTCCCAGTTTGCCAGAACTTCTTCAGCTACCTGAAAAAGTTTAGTGAAGTTGAGCATTTAAGAGGACTAATATACGGAATAACAGCATTGCTCAGAATGGATGAGATGCCTGATGTAATCAAAGGAAGCATCCAGAAGATAATTGAGTCTCTAATAGACTTGATGAGAAAGTACACCAGAGAGCGCATCCTTGAGCTCAGGAGCAAGTTTGAGGACAAAAGAAACCGATGGGACGAAGGCACAGATGAATACAATAACCTTGATGCACCCTTCCAGAAACTTTCAGGTATGCTTTAGAATAATTTCATTGCTAACTTGTTTAGAATGGATGGAAGAATACAAAGATGATGCTTACAGCGAGGACGATGATGATGACGATAACTTCGAAGAAGACGACTACTTATGGTCACGATCTGATTCATGCTACTACAAGTCATGTTTGGAAGATAAAGAAGCTCCTCTTTTCTTCAAAGAAACTTTGGAGGACTTTAGAGAAAATAAAGAAGAAGTCTATCGAGGAATCATTGAACTCATCCCTGAGGACAGCCAGAAATTATTAGAAATGATCATGGAGAGATGAGAGTACATGCAGTCTCTCCAAAGCTAGCTTATTATTAATATTACTTAAGCCATTATGATTCAATTAGACATTTCATTAATGGGGTTTTGGGGTTTTGGGGTTTTGGGGTTTTGGGGTTTTGGGG